GGCTCGCGCGGCAAAAACTAGGGTTCGATGGCTATCCGAGATTGATAGATCCTCCATCTTTCGCATGATGTATCGAAAGTGCTCGGCGATCGTCAGACAACACGTCGGATCACGTGTCGCGCAAAGTTCATGTATTCAAACGGATAAAAAAAAAAAAAAAAAAAAAGAAATAAACGAATATTAAATTGCAAAGAGGATTTCAAATTAATCTTAACGCAAGCGCAATATCGCCTACGTAGTTCATCGAGATAAAAATCTAAGTGCTAAATAAATACGCGCATTACGAGAAGATAACCGCAATGACGTGATTATCGCGACAATTTATCTTAATTCGTCGAGAAAAATTGCGAAGGTGTCTCCACGAGACTCATGTGAATCAAGGTAAAAAAAAAACCATATTTAATTTTACACTGAGATGTTCGTGCAAATTCGTTCACTTCTATTAACCAGCCAGCATAATATTCCGTAATCTACAAGTTAATTAATCAATCAATCACGTTTCGTCGTTGCAGTTGCGTGTGACTTACGAATTTTTTTTTATCATACAATCTCCTCGACCAATCTTTTTTTGTTTGTTTTTTAGACCTTTCCATCGCTTGCGCGATGAATCTAAGAATCTATTCTCCTACGTGCAGATATATCCTTAAATTAGAGTTGCTTTGTCGCCACGTAAAAGTGCGTTACACGTTTTTTCTCTCACACCGTCGCATTACAAAATATATGCACAAAAATCTTTCTCACAAATTCTCTCCCGTTTTGTATTCCTCCTCTCTCCGTCGATCGTTCGAGTTGTCGTGAAAAATCCTCACGAGAATTTCTTTACGTTCGCGTCTAAATTACTTGCACCAAAATATCGAGTGCGCTACGATATCGCTTCGTGCTAATCTCGACGCGTCTCTCTAAACGTCTAAAAACTATCATATCTCTGTGATCGAACACGTGACGTTAAGAATATGTGTAATCGCGCGTATGTGAGAATATATAAATATATATATGTATGTATATTATATAGCGCTTTGCAAACCCAAATTAGAGAGACGAGTTTTTCTCGGTTTCTCTCTCTGTGCCCGTCACGTGTTCTCCATTCGGGATGTCCGATTTCCAGCCCAGGGATCTGTCGATGTACATATATATGTATACTATCGCAATCGATCGTTATGTCGCGCGACGAACGTAAGCCATCCGGCTCGCGTAATCAGATCGCCTTACGGGATTCGCGCGGCGTAAATTACTGTAATTAGCGACGCGCGTCTGCGAAATCAGGATATTCCCGGTGCCCGCTGCAATTTCATCCGTTGTCATCGTTACGCTCTAATCACCACGGGCGTTCCGTTACGCCCGGGCTGATTAATCCACCCGACTACACTCGCGTGAGAAAAAAAACAAAGTGAGAGAGAGAGAGAGAGAGAACAGAATAACGCAAAGAGGAAGAAGAAGAAGAAGAAGAAGAAGATAACCGAAGAAGACTAAAATGAAGTGACGCGTGTTGTTGTTGGGCGCGCGGCTTCGTCGAATCCGCCGTCACGCCGAAATTACAGTCGAACATCATCGATATTCGGGCGTTCCGAGCCAAATTCGAAAGTCCTGTTATGTAAACGTCGAGCCTTTCTAGTAATACGCGTGAACGTAAATGAGGTTGTGAATGGGATGATGATGGGCATGGGGATTGTGCAAAGGGGTGCATAGAGATGTCGTGGTGATGGTGGTGGGGGACGGCGGATGATTGACAGATTGCATCGTGGATACGGGCGACACCTGATTGGGGGGACCGGCCGGCACTTGGTACACGGTATTGGGCGCGGCCATCGGGCACCTTGAGGCCCCGGCTGCGCCGTGTTGGGCCCCATGCTGTTGTTGTTGTTGTTGTTGCTGTTGTTGTTGTTGTTGTTGTTGTTGAATGTAGTTTGGTGGTAGACATACCTCGAGGCGGTCGGTACGCGGCATCTTCTGCGGCATCGCCACCGTCTGGGGCACCACGCCGAGCGGACTCCCGACGCCCGTTGGGTCCGCCGGACCCATTATCGCCGGCATGATTGGGCTAGGCGCAAAGTACGGGCTGTACGTATTGCCAACCTGCGGCATACCGGTCAGGTACGGATTCGTCGCCTGCGAAAACACACCCGGAAGATATCCAGGTAACACGGATTAGAACACACCTGTCCCCTGCCTTCGCTCCGCGCGATTTTTCGATATTGCGTTTTTTATGGCGACGCGCGCGATTATCGATTTTCAAAAAGCGAGTTTACGTTACGAAACTGAACCGCGCGTACAGGATATTTGGTGATAATGGTGTATTTCTAGAAAACAAAAACATTTTCCTTGCAAATCGATTTGTTCAAAGCTGAGTAATCTACTTTTCCTTTGAAGTTAGCGCCTTCCCGCCGATTACCAAATACCCTGTGTGTATAATCAACTATTTCTGACTATATCCGTGTAAATTCTGTTACAAGGTGCATCAAGGCTTCGCGAGTTCCCTGGTTGTTTATTAACTTTAAGACAAGCAATATACATCTTCCGGTTTGCAAGATCTCCGCGCCTTGCTCGCTCCAATTTCGGGTAAATAAGCAACACGATGATACTTGACGTAATAGCAACGTAGCGAAGGAAAAATTACTGATTAATGTCTTGTTTGTGAGATTCCAAAAATCTTCGAGCAACACATACGTGTGTTCTTATCAAATCACGAAACGCGTAGCTATTTACAAATTTAAAACAGTCGCCATTGTCACTTGTATAATTGAATAAATCTACTTTCTCAAAGTCAAAGCAACTTCTAATCCTTAGAGGAAAGACAATGACTTTTCTGAAAAGAAGTTTCGCGCGCCGGATAAAATAATCAGGAAACGTTAACCTGGTGAACTTGAGAAACGAGCTTCTGGTCGCGCGCGCGCTCACTAAAGGCGAGAATCCGCAAAGAAAAGGCGCCTTCATTTGCGCGGAGCCTCGCGAAGCCTTAATCGTCCTTTTTTCTCTCCTCCGTGTCCGCCCCTTCGCTTTTAACGACAAGCGTACGTTTCCCACACGAAGCGTTTGGTTTTGCAGCGAGAGCTGGCTCCCGAGAAGCGAAGGCAGGTAATTTTTAAGCACATCTCCGCGGAACGAACGGAGCCGAACTCTCGTTCCTTCTTCTCAAAAGCTTCCGGTACCCTGGGAGCTTTCGTCGTTGTAAAAGAAGCTTTCTGGAAGCGCAGCTAGGTAATTCTTTGAAAAATGTATATGTATTGGTTCAGCGATATTCACATCGGCAATGTTTCCGAGTATATTGGAAGAAAAAAATAAAAAAATAAAAAAATGTAAAAAAAGACGGTTTTATTGCCATTACTAAATTCATGATGTCAAACCTAACCAACTTTCAAAATTACCACGCCTCGCATCCGGTTTCCTCTAGTCTCTCCGACTCTGAAAATTTCCATTCTTGTTCAGTTTCGAGTTTCATCAAGATTTTATATAATTGTAATAATGTCGCTATTATGCAACGGTATAAAGATACAAAAACAACTTTTTTAAAGAAACGACGAGTTCTCGTCGCTTTTCAGAGTCAGAGAGCGCGCGGATTCTCTACTCGGCCGCAGTACTCTACATGCTCGTCTCCTCTACGAAAAAAACTTCGAGAAAACGTGTATACAAACAAATTTTTGCTCAATAAACAAACGAAAACATCTCTCGTATAAGCATGCAAATAAAAAGTTACTCTCTAAGATTTACTATGCGGCGTAGTTTGTAAAATAAAATATAAGCTCTCGTACGAACGCTTACTAATTACAGGCGCTTCGCTTAAGTGGATACGGTGAATGTAAATTTACAGAATTCATTCACACCCCCTCTAATTTGACTCGCCCTGAGCAAACTAATTTTAATTCACGATATTACGCATGTAATACCCATCGATATTATCAGATATCAAACAATACGGTAAATAAACTTGACAGCGGGTGTGTGTTTACATTCACCGATAGCCAGCAAAGCGACAAATAAACTAAAAATTAGTGGAAGCCAACCAAAACCAGGAGTTACCATAAAGGCGTGGGTAGCGAGAAGTTGCTGCTGGATTTGCTGTTGAAGGTGATGGTGTGGTGCCGGAGGTGCCGGTGCCTCCTGTTCACCAATGACGTAATTGGAGAACACACCAACAATCAACCACAACCACGTGAGCCACAGCGGCAAACATAGGGGACAGACAGGCAGTCATAGTATAGGGTTCAATGTCACGTAGCAACGACTATGAATGTATGTCATGAATAACAGAATAAGGAGGGCGGACGTTAATGACGAGTTACCACGTTTAATTGTTACCCCGCTCATTAAGAACGCAAAACCTTGGTACACACGTGTCATCGACTTCTTCGCGTACAAAAGAGGGCGCGCGTTCGGACAAAAAACGCGGAGAAGTTCGTCGTCTCATGTAGATTTGGAGAGCAGCACCTCGATCGAAATTGACGTTGTGTTCCGCGTGAAATTTTGACGAGAGCCGACGAAACTTCGCCGCGTCCGAAACGTCTCCACCCTTGATCATATCGAAAAGTTTAACGTGTCGACACTTTGCTTCTCCCGTAATTAACGAGGCCTCCCGTTGAATAATGAATACGAACAATACGTAAATGTCTGCGATGAGAATCTGATGTCGACACTAAAGGCTCTTAACTCGAATTATCTTATCTCTAGACAAATTGACAGAAAATGTTTATAAATCAAATATTCAAAAAAAATCTCTTCATAAATATTTACAATTAACCAATTTATAATTTATTTATTAATTTATTTTATTAGTTGTGACAAGAATAGCAAATTATTAAAAAGAAAGCCGTGTATTGTCGATTTAAGAGCCTTTGGTTTGCATAACCGGATTCTGTAAAATTGACTATCGAAATATATATATATATATATATATATACAATATACATATATATATATATATATATATATATATGTATATATATAAATATAACACGAAACAGATTCCTCTAGAAAGTAAGGGGATGACACTGACCAAGAACATGCGGCGTGCTGAACTTTAATTCTCAAATGTTTATCTCTTGGTGTGCAATGTCCACAAAAAAAGAAACGCAGGTAAATACAGACGGCGGGGTGTCGCACTTTGGACGTATCTCGGAAACACTGTTTAAAAAATAATGCGATCTTCAGTATCTTTAATTGTGATAAATGTTACGAGAAAAAGAAGTTCCGACACCGCACCGTCAATGATCTACGCGGCGTCGCCTACCGAGAAAAGGGTAAATCTAAGAAAGGGGGATAATAAATAACTCTTGACTAAACACAGACAAAACCAAAATTTTTCGATCGTGAATCAAAAAAGAAGGTGTGTGTGAATGTGTGAATAGCAGAAGACGTTGGTGCAACGATCGTTTGTGAATTTCTGTTTGTCTGACATACCACTGCGGGTACCTGCCCGGGCACGAGGGGTTGCCCCGGCGTGAGACCCTGTTGAATCTGCTGCATCAGCGCGTTTTTCAGCGCTAGATGGTTACGACCGTTTATCAGAAGTTGATCCTTCAGATGCTGCGGTGGGTGGAAATACTTGCAAGGTGGCTTCTCTCTGTTACATCGACCCTGAAACAAAACCAAAAAACAGAACTTCGTTTAAATTTGTCGTTTTCTTTGTTTTTTTTGTGACATAACATCAGTATAATAATGTGATATTATATTAATATTGTTACAATAATATAATACAATAATATTAATATTATTACAACATAATAATATTAATGTGATGACACAAGAGGAACGTAACGATCCTATTAGTTACGAAATGTTTGATACATCTTCCATCTCGTCTACACTCGCGGTAGTACAGGCGTAAGGCGTGTGTACTATAATTTCCCGACAAGATACACCGTTACAGCCTAACACATCTATGCGCGTGTTTATGCAAGAGGCGCGGCATTGCCACAGCGAAGCTCCCGTAATGCAAGCTCCCTCCGTCTTACAATTTATCCACAAATGAAACGCACTCGCGTACAAGTGGTACATAATATAGCTAATATCCGAAAGTCATCCAGCATCAGGGATCCCTCTACACACCCGTCGGTATCGGGTTCTCGTTTGCTCCGAGCGTTCCCTCCGTGCCTCTCCCCGAACCTTCTCTCCTTCCCGTAATTTGGGTGTCGGGACGAAGTGTAACGCGGTTTACAGGGTAAGTTGCGGGCGCAAGGCCGGAATACGGAAGTGGCGCGAAGGCGGGAAGATGGAAGGAGAGATGCTCGAGAGTGTTGAGAGCGGGGAAGGGGGATGATAGTGAGAAAGAGAAGCTTCTGCGAGAGTAGAGAAAGGGACGAGAGAGCGACGGAGGAAGAAGATGGAGGAAGGAAGGATGAGAGGACGAGAGGTCGCGCGTCGGTGTCGCGGTGGTACTAATTAGACCTTAACAATATTAGTTCAGGTAAGACGACTATATATACGACCGTAAGGGTAACCATCGCCCCTCCGTGCTTTCTTACGGAAATCCAGTGGCTTTCGGTAATAGCAGCTTGCGAGCGTAAACTCCCACGGGGAGGAGACAGAGGGGGGTTGTTGCGGACGTTTGCGAGGGCCGCCGAGAAGGAAAACGGAGGGGTTGAATCGTGCGGCGACGGTGGCGGCGGGACGAGCGCTCAAATATCGCCTAATTAAGCACATTCGAGAGTTTCGAGGAATAATGTGTAGGTACCCGTCACGAGAAAGTTTCGTCCCATTGAGAGGAAACGCTCCGCCCTCTTCATCGTCCTTGCCATAGTCGTCGTCGTCGTCGTCGTCGTCGTCGTCGTCGTCGTCGTTGTTGTCAACGTTGTCGCGCTCCACGGCAGCGAACTTCTCGTTGACACGAGACGATTTAAGCTCGACTAATTGCACAAGACGGGGATTCCCGTTCGAGTGCTTGCTCGTGCGCGGGCTACGCGGCGTTGCACACAGGACGCGCGTGTCGTTTGATTCGCGACTGGGGCTTTGAACGTCGATAACGTGTTTGTTTTTCCTCACAGGTCATCGCTTTTCCAGTCCGTCTGTTTCTTCATTGCTCGTGTAATGAGGAACCAGTCAAAGCGAGAGCTTCAAACTGGCCTACGGCTTCGTAATCTCTCGTTTCTTGACGCAAAACTGAGAGATTTGAGGGCAAAGTTATTTGTCATTTAAAACTGCGTGAACAGAGAGAAAAAAAATATGTAACAAAAAATTAAAATAATACGCGATGTTTCATGGAATTTTTTGTACAGTGTTGTAGATTCGTAATGATGCAAATAAATATAGTTTCGGAATACTAACGCTGATGTAACATTCTAGACGGTGTTAACTGTAATATTAAAGTTGATTTAAAGCGTCTACTGATAAGAAACAGCATTCTCTCTAGAGAGCCGCGCGAAATGCTTTTCCCTCTAATTTTAATGAAACTTTAACGATATTTAGAGGATCTCCAGAGACGGGTAACATAAATCTCATACATAATAATGTAATATCTCACAGATCTTTTAACAACTAAATTGTCTCATTCTCAAACTTAAATGTAATATCGACAAATATATAGTATACCCCAGACACGCGTGACTCTGGAGTCACATTGTGTCAACTTACATTGTATTTGTCATCAGCAAACAATTTTGTTATATTACGAAATTTAATTACAAATTTATTTGTTTGCATTTTGCTACATAATTAAATTGTAATATAAGAAACAATTTAATTATAATTGTAATAATTATATATAGCAAAAAATATAAAAATTGTGTGTAAAACTTCAGAAACCTGAGATCATATTTAAACATTTTTACGACGGCAGCATTTATGTGTTACTTGAAAATTTACGGCACGTACACACAAGATATCGAAGAAGCCGTTTTTCTCTGTCTCTTTAAAATGTGACTGGCGAGTATAAACCTTTCCTTAACATGATAATAAATACTATTCAGTTTCATGTTTTTTTATCCGCTTAAAACGAATAGCCTGACATAAGATAAAGGCAAGGTTTTGCTGTTTTTACAGCAGCCGATCCGAAGAAGGTATTAACCTTATTACGTCGTAAGATGACGTGATAAAGAACGTCTGAGCCGCGTGGTAACAAGATCTTACTCGTTTTCAAGACTAATCTCGTACGATCCACACGAGCACGGCTTAAATCTGTCGTTTTGAGAAAAAATTTCCAGCTTGTGAAGTGAATAACCTTTAACGCGACGTTTCACTCAGAGACAATATCAGATTACGCGTCGTAATTTTCGCGTGTATTAATTTGTCGCGTTACTAAAAACAAAAAGAGTTTATTTTATTTTATCCCGAGAAAAGAAAACATGTAGAAGTTAAAAAGGCGAGAAGACAAAAGAGAGATCCGATCGATACGGAAGGTAGTAAATAATCTGTAGCCCGTTCGGGGTTTCCCCGATAACTCATCGACGCGAAACAAGCAGGTGCGCCGGGGCCAAAAAAAAAAAAAAAAAAAAAAAATGCTTCCGTCGACTCGCATGAGCGCGACAAAGAAACTGTTCTGTGCTCTCATTGTTTCGGCCTTCCGGCATTACATACAAAAGAAACGCCCGTGGATAGAAGGCGGCCGGAGGCTCGAGACCGACTCAATTACAGTCGCTGAGCGACGCGATAATTGGGATCAAGATTGATTGTCTTCCTTCCTTTCGCGCTGACCTCCCGCGAGTACAAGCTACTGCGTCGGGACGTGCATTTTCTTTTTGCTCGTCTCACGCTAAATAAATTGCCCCGGAGACGCGCGGAAGACAAAACGCCGATTCGAAACCAGAAACGCGACTCCATCCAAAAAGTATTTATTTTACGAATTCTGTTGCAAAATAAACTCGTAAATGTTGTTAAATGTATAGTGCTATCGAATCCGGAGCGATGCAATCTGTGTTAGGAATTTTGTAACAACCATCGAAAAACGATATCGTAAATTCAGATTCGAAAGTAAATCGAAGTATATACATATGCCTCTCTCTCTCTCTCTCTCTCGTAATCGATTTCAAATCAAACATTTGCATATTCCTTTATATCATCTACAAAAGTCGTACTCGAGCCTCGTCTGTTCCAAGCGACGTAAAACAATCTCGATCGGCATCGATATACAACATTCGACACAAAATTACGACGAGCAACTCGCAAAGCATAAGAAGTACAACGATAAACCATGCGATAATAATTCGCGCGAAGGCGCTCGGATCATTTTCCAGCTGCGCGGAAAAAAACAACCCGGGGAGACATCCGCGAAAATGACTCCGACGACGACATGGCGCAAGGAAAGGAAAAAGCAAGAGGGATGCAAGGGGGTTGGCGCGGGCCTGCGGGATGGAAGGTGCTCACTTCATGGCGGCGGGAGGTCGATGTCGAGCAACCTTTTTCACCTCGATAAAGCCCCGTCGTCGAAGGTGGCCGACGAACACGATCCTTCAGACCCGGGCTAACCCCGTTTTATAACCTCTCACCCATCTCCCGCATCCCCCGCGGTCCTCCCCCTCCGGTCGCAACCCACGCGGGCGGCAGCACGCCGAGAGTGAACGAACAGCGTTTCTCCTCGCTGCTGAAACGAGCATCGTAGACAGAATGATAGAGAGAAAAGCACGCGGCAGAAGGAGACGAAGGCTGCGGGAGAAAGAAGTTAGGTGGATGAAAGGAGTGTGCGGCGGAGGGTCGCCGAGCGCACAGTCGTCGAGCCGTCGCGCAAGGGCCGCGGGGCGGGTAAAGCGAGATTACTAGGATTTGCGCGTAGATTTGCATATCGATTTTCCAGCCAGAAACGGTGTCGTATGGCGGCGGCGAGCGAGCGAGCGAGCTGGCACACGATTTGCCTTAATTTCGCCGTGGGAGGTATCTGCGACATTAGCCCGGTGGATGCGGCTTTAAGCGCGGCTGTTTCACGCCACGCCAGGTTTGGATGTCGTGCGCGTGCGACTACGAAATTACCGCGTCGGTATATAACTCTCGATAATAATCGGGGAAGGAGAAAGAAACGCGCGCGCGAAGCGTTTCCGCGGCAAAGAGAGGGCGGGGATTTTTCGGAAAGGGAGCATCAAGCGCGCATCGCGTGTCGGATACGTTACGGCCTTGACTTCTGATAGGCTATCTCGTTACGAGGGAGATGTATCTTTCAAGACAGTTTTCGCCAATTTTCGGGAGACGAAAGTAGGTCGATTCGTCATTTTGATTAATTACAGTTTGCGAATTCGTTGACAGAGCGCGTGTGTGTTTTTCTCGCAATTAAAAAAGTCTCATTTTTTCTTCGCGAGGAATAAATGCAAATGTTGAATAAGCGAGTCGGATGATAAAAAATTTGGCAAAAACTGGGTCTTTGTTGTTGCCTTTTTAATTGACTCTAGGGAACAATGGCGCGCATATACAGCGCATAACCCAGTCCCGCGCGCGCATCTTAACTGTCCGCTTGTTCCGCAATATCCTCTCGCAGGAGAGAGCAGAGTAATCGGATCAACAATGAAGGACCAGCAACGAAGAAGATATTGAGGAAGAGAGAGAGAGAGGATTTACAGGAACAGGCGGATATTGGCGCGATGATAGGCCAGATTGAGAGGAACTTTGTTATCTGGATTACTTAGGGGAGTGGAAAAAAACATGGCGTTGTTCTCCCC